ATGCAGTTTGAACTCAGTGTTCTGTCCCTTAAAGGTTCTGTGAATTTGGAAGTTCTCTTTAGTATGATTTCTCATGTGTAAAACAGGGAGAGATTTGATTTTTGGCAGGGATGTTGTGATGCATAAGTGAGATAGATATTGTTTGTCAAGTATCTTAATACATGCCTCGAAACCAAGGATGTATTTGTTAAAGGATCGATATCATTGTTTCTTGTTATTGACACTTACAGACCGAGTGGGAAAAAAACATAGTTTTTAGGATTGGGTATTAATAATCGTTTGCAAAAGAGTTTGCATGTGAGATTAAATTCACAAAACAGTGATGGAATGATTTTTAAATTTTTTTTTACTGTTAATAACATTGTATTATGTGATACAGTTTTATAGGCACTGGGATTTCCCCCACCCCTCCCATAACCCTCCCCCCATGGTGGATTCCTCCACCTTGTTGCATAACCACAGTTCAAGTTCATGTGTTTTGAAAAATACAATGATTCTTAATATCATCCGCATTACGTTAGAAACTTCAAGATAGTCAAGAATAGAGTTACTCTAAACTCAGTAATGTCATTTTTTTTAAAGATTTATTTATTTTTATTGCAAAGTCATATATACAGAGAGAAGGAGAGACAGAGAAGAAGATCTTCAGCCCGATGATTCACTTCCCAAATAACCACAATGGCTGGAGTTGAGCCAATCCAAAGCCAGGAGCCAGGAGCTTCTTCTGGATCTCCCATGTGGGTGCAGGCACCGAAGACTTTGGGCCATCCTCCACTGCTTTCCCAGGTCACAAGCAGTGAGTTGGATGGGACACAGGGCCACTGGGATTAGAACCAGTGCCCAAATTGGATCTCAGCACGTTTAAGGCAAGGACTTTAGCCACTAGGTTAATTGCACTGGGCCCTGTAATGTCTTTTAATAACATGTCAGTTATGGCATAAAAGATGGAGACCCAGGGGTGGTAAATGCTTGCAAATGGTGGCAAGTTTACATTTTACACCACTTGCACAATATTAACTCTAAATTGGCTTTGAAAATTTAAGATTGTACAATGTAATCCAGGGTAAAACAACAAAGTTTAATTCTAAGGTACAGATAAAAAGCTAGTAGATTACTTAAAATGACATAGTAAAAATGTTGAAAATAATATAGGAAAGTAGAATCAATGGAACAAAATCAGAATACTCAATTAGGAAACAAATGATAAAATGTTAAATATGAATATTATCATATTTGTAACCATATTAAATGCTAATACATAGAACAGTCCAATGAAAATGTACTTATATGGATAAAAAGAAACCTTAACTATATGCTCTGTTAAAAATATGAGAATGTCGATTTAAAGTTAATGGATAAAAATGTTGTATAATCTTGAATGACTATTAATTTTACATAAAAATAACCAAAACATCAATAAACACATAGAGAATCCAATTAACAACAAACTTATGGATATTTTTAGAGCACTACACCCGGACCAGGAATATTCACAGTGCCTTTGCAAAGGTAGTACAGATGTTAATCCATAAAGCATATCTTAAGAAATTTAAAGTGAATAGAGTCTGTTACATCATGACAAGATAATTAAATCAAATATCTATGACAATATATCTAAGCATGTCTCAAGTGTTTAGAAATGTTCAGCAGGTTTTTTGTGAAATTCTGCTGTGTTAGTAATTAGATGAAGGGAAACCGTGTTGCTCAGTTCCTTCCAGGTTTCTTTTAAATATTGGAGGAAGACTATTCTCTTTCAATTCTTGGTCTCATTGACTAAAGGAAAGTGCCTTTAAGCTTTCATGGTGGAAAAAAGAATTCAGCCAGAGCAGATAGATTTAGCAACTGACTTAATTTAGTGTCTCAGCCCCCAAATATTAAATCATGAGAACACATGAGCTCGCACACACACACACACACACACACACACACACACACACACAGCATTGTATCAGACATTTGGGATGATAAACACTGATTAAGTTTGGAAACATCTGCATCCTTTATGGAATCATTCTTCCTAGGGAATAGTGTAAACTTGGTTTCAACTCTTTTGGACATTCTTTTTATTTAAAAGATATATTTGAAGGAAGTAATTTTATGTAATCTTAGTTTTGAGCATGAGAAAATGATGAAATGGGAGCAGTGGGGCTTGCATGTGTAGGGAGGCAAGCAAAGTTTAAGTACCACCTAGGATCTAGTACTTGGGAAATTCCTCCTTGATAATATGTCAGTTGTAATTAAACATATACGAGTTTGCTGTTGCTGTTGTAATTAATTGTCACAAATTTAGCAGCCTAATACAATGCAAGTGTATTATCTTCCAGACTGCTACATCACAAATCTGGATAAAATATGAGTCTCACAAGGTTGATATCTAAGTATTCACAGAGCTGTATTTATTTCTGGGTGCTTTAAAGGAAAATTCACTTCAAGATCACTCAGGTTATAGGATTTGAGGTCACCATTTCTTTTCCTTTCTAGCTTATGTTTGGGGATTGTTCTCAGCTGCTAGAAATTTGGCCTCTTTTTTCTAATTTTATAGCCAGCAAATGCAAGTAAAAGCCTTTTTAGGAACTTAATCCTTGGCCTCCAGTGCATGATGTGTAATTGATCACATCTCACATGAACAAATGCAGCTGTACATTTTAAAGTGATTGTGTTCCAAGTCCTTCTCTTCCTTTCTTTTCTGTTCCCTTCAGAATGGGGGATAAATTATTATAGAAGTACACAGTGTACACCAACATTCGTGATGGAGTGCAGCCAATAGAAGTTAAAGTAGCAGGGGAAGGGCTTGCTTAGCTGAAGAATTATTGAGTCTTCTCAAGCATTTTTGTGGAAAATCCTGCAGATGGAACCATTCTCAAGGGAAAACATTACTGCTCAGAAGTCAGACTTTATGATAATTGCTATGATTCATGTCCCAAATGATGCTTACTTGAACTATTTGGTATGCTGTAGCCTTTAATTCGATAGGTTGAGACAAGACACTTACAATGATTAATATCAATTAGCATATATTTTCCTTACAGGTTAATTAAGAACAGATTATGAACTGTGCATGATAAGAGAAAGCAAGTAGCAAACAAATCATTCTTATCAACAGAATTCTGTTTTGAGGTTGATGTTGTGGTAGAGTGGGTTAAGCTATAGCTTATGAGGCCAGTATCTCATATACATGGTGATTCAAGTCCTTGGCTACACTGCTTCTGATTCAACTTACTGCTAATGTGCTTGGGAATGCAACACTCAGGCCTGAGTGTGCTTCTGCCACCCATGTGGGAGACCTAGACAGAGTTCCAGGCCTCTGGTTTTGGCCTGGCCAAGACCTGACTGTTGTGGCCATTTCAGGGTTGAGTCAGTGAATGGAACGTCTCTCTGTCTCTCACTCTTTCTCTGTTGCTATGCCTTTCAAATAAATAAATATATAAACATATCTTTAAAAAGTAATTTTGGATTTTCAACTAGCCTCTGTTCAGTTCTCAAAAAAATATTGTTTATTCTTCAGAACCCTCTTACTCAGTTTGGTCTCTATCCATGCCTCTTTTTCCCCATACCTCCACTCTTTTAACAATGCATTTTTCTAATGCCCAAGACACAGCTGACAACAATATACGGTATATCTCAAAAGTAGCTTGAAAAGAAGATTTAATTGGCCATAAAGACATGGTACAATTTTAAGGCGATAGAAGCAGTGTTGCGATAGAGTAGCTGAGGCTTTCACTTGAGAAGCCAACATCCAGCATTCCATATAAAAGTGCAAATTTGAGTCCAGATTACCCTGTTTCCAATTAAGTTTCCTGCTAATGCATCTAGTTAGGAAGTCTATACTCTGCAAATACTTGGACCCTTTCCATCCATGTGGAAGAACCAGGTGGAATTCCAGAATCCTGGCGTTAGCCTGGCTGTTGGCACCATTTGGGGTGTGAACCAACACCTAGATCTCTCGTTCTGTCTCCTGTGTTTTTGTCTGTCTCTTGCTCTGCTTTACAAATCAATAAATATTTTTAAATTGAATTGAATTGATTTTATTATCAAAGTGTATGTTTTAATTGAAACATTGCACGAATCTTTACAAATATTACATGATAATCAAAAATAAAAATCAATAAGAATCTTATTTTTTTTCACTTTCTTCACGTAGTTTTATATATTTCCTCTGAATTTCTTAATATATAATTTTTTTAAAAAAAAAGATTATTTGAACAGCAGAGTTAAAGTTGAGAAAGAGAGTGATTGATTCTGTCTGCTGGTTCACTCACCAAATGTCTGCAGCAACCAAAGCTAAGCAGGTCCAAAGCTATTAGCCACAAATTCAGTCTGGGTCTCACACCTGAGTGCAGGTCTCCAACCACTTTTGTCTTCTTTCTCTATTGTCTGGTGAAGCCCCTAGGAATCCTGCCTTCAGATTGGCTCTCCTCTCTGTAAATCTGACTTTCCAATAGAAATAGATCAATCTTTTAAAAATTAGTAAACATGTTTGAAAAATTATGAAATGGTTTGATAAAGTAAGATAAATTAGTGAGTGAGTATAGCAAAATTTCTTGGTAGACTTATGTATCAATCCTAATGGCCTCGTTTATGTTATGAAAGCAGACAACCCCAAAATTCAATTAGAAATCAGCAAAATTTATGTTACCCATGCGTATATGCGGGATGGGAAAGCTTTTTTATTTATTTATTTTGTTTATTGCACTGAACTAAGGTCTGAAGCTAGCACATAAAACATAATCTCAAACACTGGTCATTATCATGTCAAAAGAAAATAACTGTTGTGGTGTTTCATTATAGCAAGTAAGTAGTCCATCTTTGGAGAATTCGACATCATGTCCACTCTCAAATCATTGTTAGGAAGAAATCTCATGGCCCCTTAAAGAAACAATGAGCAAGAAGTAGAAGATCTGCTATTTGCCTGAAGGAGAAAAGAATCTGAAATATTTGCTGAAGAGCAATAGTTCCCACAATAAACTTATCACTGTCCTATGCCTCTTGTCTTTCTTTAGATCGTGAGCAAGCTGTCTATATTGAGCAGCAATGTTTCTGGTATTTACTACTGCATAGCTGTAAACAAGGCTGGGATCGACGAGCGAAGCATTCACTTCTATGTCTCAGGTAAACTATGACACTGAGAGGATAAAGCTAACAGAGCAAGTCTATTTTTTTTCCTTTTTAAAAAATTACTTCATTGTTATTATTACCACCTTTTAAAATTCCTTAATTTTGGTAATCTTTACATAGTTGATTAGGGCACAAATGGTCAAGGGCTACAAGAAAATGGGTAAGACCATTGTTTCCACATTAATATTATTATTATTTTTTTCTGTATCCGGGGTAAGGGATGAGATAAAGGGAAAAGCCCCACCCAGCCTCCCACCCAGTGCCCTGACATGGGGCATGCTCTGAGGGTCTTGCTCATGCAGTTTTGATAGTTCAACAGTTCTGAATTGCTGCCAGTCTCGCCGTTCCAATGAAATGTATTCAGAATCCACTGGCTGAGATAGTCTCTTCATGGTTGCAGTTCTGAGCTCAGCAGTTCAGTTGGAGGGATCCCCAGGGAAACTTTGTCTGAGGTGATCCCAGACCTGATTCTTCTGTGTGCTTGCCCGTACAGGGTCCCAATCAACTTACGCATATGCTGATGGTTACAATTGCTGGGTCTGTTCCAGCCCTGTCTTCCGCAAGAACCGATGGGTGTTGCAATCCAGCCCGATCCTGCCCACTTCATACTTGGCCCTCACACAAACCAGTGGGAGCTGCAGCCTAGTCAGGGCGACTCCCCATAACCCTCTACCCTGATTCCTATGCTTGCAAATGTGTACCACAAACTAGTTCAGTCTTTTCCACATCCCATTTAGCTCTCATGCATGTCAGTGGGCATTGAAGCCTAGTGCAACCCAATCTGCTTTATTATCCAGCCCACACACATACTGGCATGTGCTGTTCTCTCTAGCCACCCCTGCCCCAATCCTGATTTTCATGCTCTCCAGTGGGAGTGGTAACCCCAAGGGAGGTGGCCCACTATTGCTCTCCTAGGCTACTCCCACTCCCAGAATATGCACTCTCCAGGTAGTTTTGTGGTTTAACTTGACAGAATTAGCCTCCAGTGCCAGCCTGATGGTGTGGCAAAGCCCAACCAACCCTCACCCACTCTAATTTATGCTTGCACCAGTAGGAACAATCAGCCCAGCCTGGCTTTTCTCTGATCTAGCTCACATGATGCCTACAGGTGTTGTAGCTCTGCCTGAAGTGGTCTGCCACCATCCCAGATCACACGCTCCAGTGGGAGTGGCTGTCCATCAGAGGAGCCCTCCACATTCCCCCTGTCAGCTTTGCCCCCTCCCTCCCTGGTTGTGCTGGTTGGGTGCTGCAGCCCAGTCTGGCATGGCCCACCTCACCTTGGCATTTGCCAGTGGGTGTTGTAGCCTAGCCCGGCCAGGTTAACCCCCAAGTTCCAGCTAACACTGGTGAAGGTTATAGTCTAGCCCAGCCCATCCGACATCCAATCCTAGCTGTAATGTGCACTGGTGTGTTGTGACCATACCTGGCCCAATACATACTCTGTTCTGGTGCTTGAATGTGAACTGATTCAGCCTGTTCTGCCCTCAAGCTGTGCCAAATATACACTGGTGGATATCTTTCCCTGGCCCGGTCTGGGCTACTCCCTATTGTGGTTCTTGAGCTTACCTGCAGGGACTGTGTACTGCCTGAGTTGCCCAGGCTTCTCCATCAGAACCTCTCCCATTGCCAGATCTTGCGTATACCTGTGGGTCCATGAGCTAGCCCTACTTAGTCCACCTCCTGTCCTAGCAGGAACAGTGGCCTTTCCTGACTGATCTTCAACCCATTCCGGTTCTTACTGTTCATCCCAGTCAAGGCTCGTCAGCCCAGACATGGCTCACTCATGGCTCAGTAGGGGCAGAGGCTTAGCCTAGTCCATCCTGCATCTACCCTGGTCCTCCAGTGCACCAGATGGTGCTGGAATCTAGCCCAGTCTGGTGCGTCCAGTCCCAGTCCACACTTGTGCCAAGGGAGACTGGCCATGAACAGACCAGGACACAGCCTCTACTTCAACCCCCGCACTCAACAGTGGGAACTTCAACCCAGTTAGGGTGTCTTCTTAGCTCCCCAGTCGGGTCTGTTCTCAACCATAAATCATGCACATGCCAGTGGTTACTCTGACCCAGCTTGGCATAGCCCCTCCACCTGTCTTGGCCTTTGCCTTTGATGCTGTGGCCTAGTATCCCAGTTAATGCATACAAGTTGGTGTAAGAGCCTAGCTCGGCATGACCTGTGCTCCATCCTGATTTCTGTGTTAATTGTGAGTTAAGGTTTGCTTGGTCCTGCCTGGTCCACCAACTTCCAGTTGCAGCTCGACCTACCCCACATCGTTTTAGGATGCACATTTGGATGTAGCTGCCTTGACCTGCCCAGACTGTTGTAGGTTCCTTTACCTGTAAGTGATGGCAGGTTCCATTGTCACACCTATCTCAACCCATCACCGCCAAAACTCACGAGCTAACCAGCAGGACTTGTATTTCCACAGGGTTGGGCCCACACTTACCCCAGAGAATCTATCCCCCAATCTGGTTCTCTTACGTGTTGATTAGTGTCCTGACCCTGCCAGGTGTGACCCATTCCCTGTTCTGCAACTCAGTCAGGTACTGGCACATAGTCCTGCCAGACAGGCCACCAGCCATTGCTTTCATGTAAACTGGTGTGTGGCAGTCAGTGATGCTCTATGCTAACAGCCCATCTCATGATTCCCATGTAGGTTGGTGAATCAGTCTGGCCCAAATATAACTTATGGACTCTCCCCTCTGAACTCTCAGATCTCAGTCCCCATGGCTGCAGGCAAATTCTGTGACCCCATCACTAGGAATCACGTAGAACTCATCCCTTACCTACACTTACACTAGCCTTTTCCCTGGATGTCCCTAGGCAGCAATTACATACCCTAAAAACCCTTGAGCTTACCGCCCAAAGCCTAGGACCTGGTCACTGTGTGGCAACGGTGTCTTTGAGCCAAGTCCTAGGCATTGGGTCCGACCTGGCTGGGGTTATTTCCACAAGTTGGTCGCCACCACTGAGGAAGGTTGCTGTCACCCGAGCCGCCAAGGTCGAACTCATATTATTATTATCATCTTATGATATAGTTGTATAGGCCCTGAGATTTCCCTTGTCCCCTCCCCAATTCTCTCTCCCCTCACTAATATCTCCTATATCATTACTATAGTATAGTTCTTCATACATAGTCATATGCCCATCATGGACAATGACAGAGAGTCCAGCATCCTATTGTCAAGATATAGTAAACAGTCTCATTGGGAATCCATCTTTGTCTTGAAGTAGAGATGCATAGATTCATGCTGCATTGTATACTCATATGGCAGCCTCCGTTACTCAGTTACTATACATCCCTTTAAATAAAAAGCCACAAAAGAGAACGAACAAAAGGAAGAAAAATGAAAATTTACAACGTCATAAAGTTTTAAATAACATGCATCTAGATGTGATAATCTCCATTGCAGTTAGTGTATATCCACTTAAATAAAAAGCCAAAAGAAAAATCAACAACAGGAAGAAAAAAGAAATGAAAAATGCTATGAAATTAAACAACATGCTATTAAATGACTAATGTCTTGCTGAAGAAATGAAAAAGAAAATCAAGAACCTACTTGAAGAAAATGATGCTGCAAAATGATCTATGAATCAGTAAAGAATTTAATGAAAAAGCATTTTGAAAAGATGAAAAAATATCAAAATCCATGATATATAATTTCTGCTGATCTTTGTTGCTGAGATATGACTCCTGTAGGCAGCAAATAGATCGGTTTTGTTTTTTTCAATCCAGTCTAATAATTTATCTAAGACATTTGATTGATGAATTTAAGCCATTTACATTCAGGGTTGATATGAATGGGTGGTAATTTGGTCCTGTCATTTTAGCAATTGGTTGTTAATTGATTTAGTCTTGTTATTTCACTGGGATGTTCTCATCTTTAAGTATCATTTGCAGGTCAGGGTTGGAAGAGGAATATTCTTTTAACTTTTGTTTACTGTGGAAGAATTTTATTTCTTTTTCAAAGACAAAGGAGAACTTTTGCTGGGTACATTATCCTGGGATGATATTTTTTTTTTCCTTTTGGAATCTGAACTATGATACACCATTCTCTTCAGGCCTGTAGAGTTTCCTGTGAGAGGTCTCCTGTAAATTTAATTGGCATTCCTTTATATGTCAATGGATGTTTTTCAGGTGCACATGTAAGGATCTTTTCATTATGTTCGATTCAAAAGAGCTTGATGATCGTGTGTTGTGGTGAAGATCACTTTGAGTCAAGCCTGTTGGGAGTTCTGTGCCCCTCCTGGATGTTGCTTCCAAATTCTTTCTACAGATTAGGGAAATTTTCCCTTTTTATTTCATTAAATGCATTTTTAAACACAATTTCTCCTTCTGCACCTTTTGGGTCTCCCATAACTCTTTTATTTGGCCTTTTAATAGTGTCTTTCAATTCTTGAATACTTTTTTTAGCTTGACCAAGCTCTGCTTCCAGCTTTTTGTTTGCTTTCCTCCTGGTGAATGGAAATATCTTTCAATTTTGACATTCTTTCTTCTGCCTCCTTCATTCTACTTTGGAGACTCTCCACTGTACTTTTAATTTGCTTCACTGTAGTCTTCATTTCTAATATATCAGCTTTCATTAGATTCATTTCCTGTGTGACATATGCCTTGAATTGTTTGAAGTCCTGTATTACATGCTTCTTGTTGTTGATGAGAAGCTTTAAAACAACTGTTTTGAATTCTGTATCTCCATTTTCTTGATCTCTTCCTCAGTTAACTCTGAGACTGGCAAAGGCTTTTGCTCCTTTGCTGGGAAGTCTTCAATGATATTCATTGTGCCTCTGTGTCTTCTTTTGCTCTTGGTCCTTGTACTTCTGATTATCAGATTCTTCTCCTTGGGGGAGGTCTCTAAGCTTTTTCACCCACAGGTCTACAGTTCAATTTTAGTTATTGCAGTTGGTACACAGCTCTTTGTTTGCAGTCACTTGTGCCACTCCCTCCAGTGAGCTCCAAATCTGGGTTCTTGTGTTAGGCTTCTACCATGGTTTCCATA